TCTATCAATTTCAATTTCAAGAATAACCCCTACTTCGTTGTTACTAAGATCTATCAATTGTCATTGTTGTAAGATGCATTCTTAGAAGTTACCAGTGCCGAAGAGATGGGTTGTGCATAAAAAAGCATGAAGCATAAAAAAGGACTTTTAAGAAACAAAACTTAAAACAATTGGTGGATTGCATTAAAAAATGTTTAAGTCAAAATATGGTTTAGTAAAACAATGGTGCATGCAATTCCCTCTTCACAGATTAAATAAAACTTTGAACTTAACACGAATTTTAAAAAACATTTAATTGTGAATCAATGTTTGCTGGAGCACACAGTATAAATAATGACACTATTTTATAACATAGCGTGTAATAAAGGTTTACTGCTTTAGTTAATCTTTTAGCAGTTGTGTTCAAAATTTACTTTTGATTTCATGTGTATGTTAGCTCACATGTTATATGTTCTATTGTCATTTTCACCAGTCAAAGTAATCACGTACAAAGAAAGGAGATTTGTTTAGCACTGATGTTAATCTTAAACTTAAGAGCAAGAATATCACCACACACATCAAAATTTATCACTTTTTGTAAGTAAAGGATAAACTTTCCCACCACTTTGTTCTATAACCTGAAATGCTCAAAATCATTCTGAAATGTTATAACCTTCTACCACTTTGTTCTATCTATTAATTTTGGTTTGTCAACTTTGAAAGGTCATGACAACCTTAAAATTAGGTTGATGGAACATAATTCTTAAAGCCTCAGGATTCCTGATCAAATATCACATAAGGTAACTACCACTTCTCTAGAAAGTCGTTCAATCTATGGAAATCTTAGATTCTCAATTATAGAGTATAATGTCTTGCTTAAAAGTTGGTTATTCTCTTTTTAATGTTAGCCTCGCACATTGAAAATCATGTTCTAGAGAGTGCTTAGATTAAATAAAGACAATTCTTTGCTTTTTTTTCGTGCACTGGTGCATTCACTATATTCAAAACTAAGATAAGTGTAAACAACTTGGAGGGTCAAGAGTCCAAATATTTTAATGTTGATTTCAGGAAGAAATAGTTATAGGGCTTGGGGAGGGAGAGTATGCGTATGTAGACTTTACCCCTACTATTAATAAAGAGATAAAATTATTGATTTTTAATAATTAAAATAATATAAAAATATGAATTGGCCAATGAAAAACTATTAAAAGCCCTAACAATGATATGGAGTGCTGTTAATAGGCTCTTTCTACTTTTTTTTCATTTCTTGGGGGGTTCAATACCATTTCTTATAGTGTTTACCATCTCCTATGTGCGTGAAAATGATAATTTGTTAATGTGTATCAATGAACCAAGTATCTACTGCAAGCTATGTTATTATTGGCATTTCGTCAAATTATTGGGTCCCGCACAGAAAATATCTATTCGTTTGCCCTAGAAAATTTTGACCTTCCCCTTTGTTTTTCAGGTGGGTTATTAAATTTCTCTGTAATTTTATTTTAAAGGCCAAGGGAAATGGAGGCTTGAACAAACCTACCCTAGCTGATGTAAATGCCATGGATTAAGCTATGGGTACCCCAACATTTATACCCCAATTTGTACCCTGCAGTTTTGCACCAACATTTTGTATTGGTGTAAAACTTATTTTTGTTAACGCACCAACACTTTGTGTCCGTGTAAATTTTTGTTAACGCACCAACACTTCTGTCTGTGTAAACCATCAAAATGTTTGTGCATACGTGTGGTGTACAAATGGGGTACATTTTTTGGTGTAAATGTAGCATGGTCCAACTGTCATCAATCAATATATAAAGTTTTGACGGAAGGATTTCATCTATCTTATTGTATTCTATACTTTGTTTGCCTTTAAATTTTATTTCAGCACTTTGGATTCGGAATATAGTTAACATTTATTTGAGCACTTTGGATTGAGACTATCGTTAAATACTGGTGTATGTTCTCAAATTAAATAAAAATGATATTAGATATTGATACAAAAATAATTTTATTAGATTTATCATATCAAATATTTTCAAAATATTATTTTATCTAATTAATATAAAATATATATTTCATTTAATTATAGGTCAAAAGATGAAAATGATTGACTGAAAACATCAAAACTGGACAAATACTCAGTCAACTTTATGTTGGAGTTCCACGAGTGGAAACTAAAAAAGGATTGAAAATGTTAGTTTTAGATGAAAACATTAACTCTTGCAATTGTACAAAAAATGTGGTTTATCTTGATGTTTTCCAAAAACTTTAGATGTAATTAATACATTTATATACATGAATTTTAGTTAGCATACTCTGTGTCATATCATTCATTAAACTTCTAACATTGTATATTATTTTTAGCTATTTTTTTAATCATTTACTAAAATAAAAAAATTTAACAGAGTTAAAAATAACATGCGTTCGACCCCGTGCGTTGCACGGGTTAAATACTAGCTAATTAATAAACGTATGTTCTCTTAAAAAGAAATAAATAAATATTTTGATATATTTTTTGCCAAAAATGGTTAACTGATTCTCAAAATTAACTCGTTAAATAGAAGGGTATGGTTGATGCATGCACATGCATATTTTTATTGAACAAATTTTCTATTATTTTTATGCAATGTTTAAAACTACTCTATTTTCAAAGAGTTAACTCACATCAATCTCCAACTATTCAGGATAAATTTTAAACAAAGCGTAATGTAACAGACGTCTTAATGACTATCATTAACCACGCGCCATTAATAATGCATCACTAATGACTAATGTTTATTATTATCATTAGTGCATGAAGGTTACAAATCAACGGAGAGGTTCTTACTTGTTGAGTGTCTCGGTTCGGAGACTTGGGAGCTTGAACAGTCGGGCCTGAAAGTGAAATTATGTTTCTTTGAATAGTCGGGCCTGAAAGTCGGTACTGCCATGCCATGTCACAGTACCGGTTCCCCCCCCCCCCNCTAGCCCTAGTGACAATGACAGAATTTCTGGCTCCAATCCCGGTTCGGAACCGGCACCGTGTTCATCCCTAGATACAATACCATACTCATGTTTAAATTGTGCCAAAAAAATAAATATGCATTACTCAAATAATACTATAACAGAAGTACTATTTTTTTTACTCTCCCTATTACGGAGTATTTGTCCACTTTTAAATTTTTTTGATCAAAATTGGCAAACTTTGACCCCAAATTAAATAAAGATATTATTAAATATTGATACAAAAATTAATTTATTAGATTTATTATATTAAATATTTTCAAAAAATTATTTTATCTATTTAATATACAAAATATATTTTATTTAATTATAAGTCAAAAGTTTAAAAAAATTGACTGAAATAAGTCAAAACCAGACAAATACTCTAGAACAGAGGTAGTTTTAAAAAACACAACTTTGTTAAAGATGTAATTATTTTGAATTTAAAAGGATCATGAGTGAGTATTTCTTCCCACTTATTCTTTTTAAAGACATTGAGGGATGTGAATGTAGTATTCACAAATCATATCGATCTCATTATTTCAATTATTAAAATAATAGTGTACTTATCATTTTAAAAACAACACTTGCAACAGTCTGAAGACCGATTTTAAAACATATTTGCTTCGATACTAAATTGTAACACCTCAACTCGCATAATCCAAATACAAGGGTTTAGCAAGTCAGTTTGTCACTAAATTGGTATATATCTACACACAATATATTTTTTCCCCATTTAAAACATTAATTTAAAACAACATTATCAAAAACATTATCGAAGATAACATAATATTGCAGAATCTAAAGTAAACAAAAGTCATCGTTTGATCATTACCAAAAATCCATTCATTTAGAACTTACTTTTGATTGATCCACATTTAAACTAACATCTATACATCTCCTTTGTCTTGCTAGTTTTTAGGTACATTCCACCTCCACCATCAATCATACTTGTGCGCGTAACAAATAAAACATACAACACACTTAGCGATGAAGTTGAGTGAGGATATTTAATGTGTTAAACATAGACATAGATAGAATCTCAATTCATAACCAAGTCATATAATATCATGCAAACAAGATGCAATTATAGTTATTCAATATCACACACTTATCATTCATTTAATCATTTGTTGTTTAGTTCATCATATTAATCGTGTAACACCCCAATTCGCTTAATCCGAATACATGACTTAGCAAGCCGGGTTGCTACCAATCTGGCATCCAAACATGTAAAATTTTCAAAACAGTTAAAACATCCAAACATTTCTCATAATAATAATCCATCATCGGAGTAAAAATTCAAATGGTGCGGAAGTTTAACTTATTCAAACAAACACGACTGGGGACTCATGCCCGAAAATGCACTAAGTTATTCAGAAATACGGAGTAGTTATTAATTCCAAATCTTCAATCAAGTCAACCAACATCTCTTCCTTCTCATTGTCCTCCAGGTCCAGCTCTTGAATCATCATGTCCTTGATTACCTACGTGGATACTTCGTAGTTTTTATATACTATCTCCATCCAAAAATTAGCTTCTCGTTGCGCGTTACGATGTTCGATTGAAATTATTTTCAAATCATTTAATATGAAAAATGATGTTGAATTAAAAAAATAAAAATTACATTTTATTTAAAAACTACATCAAAAAATCTATAAAACTAGATATGACATAACTATATTATTTTATCAAATCGGTAATGAAAACAAGGGATTAAAGTTTGATCAAATGAATAGTGAACGAGAAGATAATTTGTAGACGGAGGAGCATGTAATTTTTATTTTCAATTTCCCATCTCCATTTCCTTAATTTCTCTTTCCTTTCTTCCATATTTCCTATTTGGTCCGTCCTTGAGTGTTTGTCCACTTTTGACTTTTGGAATTGTTCATCTAAGCACTTTGACTTATCAAATTCTCTCAATGTGTAAGCCTAAAAATAGTCATGTGTGATCTTGTTTGATTCGTCTTAACATATAGATTATTAATATATAATTTTTATAATTTTTTAATATATAAATTACAAGATAATATGGATTAAAGAAGTGTATTGGATTGGATGGTGTGCAAAAATTGGACAAAGACGGAGGGAGTATTTCGTTCTTGGGGATCAGCTGAGGAGCAGGCGACACCGCCACCCCACTACAGACTAGCGGCGCTGACCCGGCACTCCAGACCAATGACCTCTCCACTCTAGATCGACACTCAAAGCATCCATAGAGGTATGTTTGTTCCTTATTTTTAACTGATTTGTTTTCATAACGGGGATGATGGCCAAATTTGTTTGCAAGCAAAACCCTTTTTTGTTTCATTCTTGTCCATGATTTATAACAGGGATGGCCAGATCTGTTTCCATCTCCATTTTCGTAGTGTGGTTTTCAATGATAATCCATGGTTATGATTTTCCTAATGACTTTGGACTAAATCAGTGGTTTATAAAACACAATTCTTGCCATAACCCAATTAATTCATATTAAACTGTGTATTATCAGAAACCAATAACTTGGGATGGTAATTCCCATTATGCTCCTAGCATACATACATACATACATACATACATACATACATACATACATACATATATTTATATATATATATATATATATATTTTTATATATATATATATATATATATATATATATATATATATATATATAAAAATACAATATCACTTTCCCCATCATGAAACCGGGGTTAATTAGAGGGTCTGTTCTTTTTCACTGAAGTTAATTGGAAGTTCATTTAAACTTAATCTGTTAAGTGTTGAACAAAACTGAAATTGAAAATAAGTAAAAAAAAAAAAAGATACACTAGTATAAACATGATCTGATTTATTTCAAAGTCATTAGGATAAGCATAACCATGGATAATGGATCATCATCGAAAAACGTTCTGCATAAATGGAAATGGAAACAACTATGGGTATCCGTGTTATAAGCCATGGAAGACAATGAAACAATCGAGGGTTTTGGTTGTAAAATATTACCCTCTTCCGTTTCGTGTGCCTTAGTGGTGATGATTAACATCTAAGTAGTTCTTGTGGCTCTGCTGTTTCTAATCTAGATTCAAATGTTTCTTGGATGGACATGGCTTCAACTACCCGTTATTCGTTTTCTTGTGCAAGTTCAGTGTTTGCATTGAACCATTTTTATGAGAGACTGCACTGTGTCCTATTATGGAAAACTGCCATCCCGAACAATCCAGTTTATGTGGACTCCAAAGAATACAACTTTTGCCCGGTATTAGCTATCGGCTGTGCGAAAAACGTGAGGGAGATTGCAAGTGGGAGTGAAAAAAATTCCAGATTTCGATGGGTTAAAATAGGGCCTGATATTACAAAAGAACAGAAAGAAGCTATATCTCAGCTGCCACCGAAGATGACAAATAGATGCAAGGCGCTAATGAAACAACTTATTTGTTATTCGTCTGAAAAGGGAAGTGTGGCATTTTTGTTGGGTGCATGGGTGAAGAGTATGAAGCCCAAGAGAGCTGATTGGCTGGTAGTTTTCAAAGAATTGGATAGGCTGAATAGTCCATTGTATTATGAGGTATGAAGATTTGCCTTAAATTTGTTTAGGTTCTTGAATTGCATTTTATCATGTGAGTCATCATTGATTTATTCCATCACATTATGCCACTGAACGAAACGAAGAATAACAATTTGCGATTTGCATTTTTTTTATTTCTTACTATATTTCTAGCTTCCAGACTCCAAAGGGTCATGGCTGGATGAATGGAGTGGCAGACTGATACTTTATTTCATAGGTGGCTGAACTTGCCCTTGTAGAGGAATCATTTGAAGCCAATCTTCGCGACTATACCAAAATCATTCACGGCTACGCAAAGCAAAATCTTGTCCGGGAAGCTGAAAATGTGCTTTTGAGCATGAAAAGCAGAGGCTTCATAGCTGACCAGGTCCTGCTCACGGCGTTAATTCACATGTACAGCAAGGCTGGCAACCATAGACAGGCAGAAGAAACCTTCCAAGAATTGACTCTTCTCGGGCACCCATTGGACAGAAGATCGTACGGGTCAATGATCATGGCTTACATCAGAGCTGGAAAACTTGATGAAGCAGAGGGATTAGTCTCTGCAATGGAGGAACAAGACATTTATGCAGGGCCAGAAGTTTATAAATCACTGTTGAGAGCCTACTCCATGGCTGGGGACAGTAAAGGAGCTCAGAGTGCTTTTGACGCGCTCCAATTCGCCGGCATCCTCCCTGACGCAAAGATCTGTGGGTTAGTTGTCAATGCCTATCTCGTGGCGGGTCAAATCTCCGAGGCTTGTATTGCTTTTCAAAACATGAGAATGGCTGGGATCAAACCGAACGACAAATGTGTGGCTTTGATTTTGGCTGGGTTTGAGAAGGAGAATGACCTGAACAAGGCGCTTGGCTTGGTGATTGATTTGGAGAAGGGGGGCGTTATGCTCGGGGAAGAAGCTTCTGCCATATTGGCGCGGTGGTTCGGGAGGCTCGGGGTGATACAAGAAGTGGATCTTGTGTTGAAGGAATATATGGGTCACAGCTAGAGGCTTATATGTCTTCTTCTTTTACTTCTGCTTGATAAAATGGGTCTGAGCTAGAGTGGAAGTTTTTTAAAAGATCTTTTAGTCTATTGTGATTAACTAGAACAACACTTTGATGTAATAGGGAGTATTTTTGTCTTTAATGTAATATCCCAAAGTTGCAAACCAATTAGCTCAAAATTGACTACCGTTTTTTATTGGCTCAAAAATACCTTTTTTTATGGAGATTGGAGAGTTCTTCATCGCCCTTCAAATTGTTAAATCAATTACGTAAATAAAATTTATATTGAATATTAGTATAAACATAATTTAATTAGAATTATCTACAAGAAAATTATGTAACTTGAAAAAATCAAATTTAACGAATACTCTAGTACGGAAGAGTATGCAACTTTGGTCAGACTCGTATATCCTCAAAATAAATAAAACCAAACCAAACAAAATTGTTCAAGCTCTAACAAACACACAGCATTCTGATAAACAAGCTATCAACATATACACTATGAATCAAAAAGCAAAGACATAAAAAACAAAAAACAAAAACAGCCTAATGAGAGACGAGCTCAATAAATAAAAAATTACATATAAAAGTGTCTCTCTCTCTTTCTCTGCCTCACCTTGCCCTAGGTGGCTCCACCTTCGGCGCCCGACGATCCGGAGGGCATCGATAATCAGGTCTAGAGAGTTTGGATGATCCCTTAGGAGCTTGAAGCTCCTCGAGCGCGGCTAAGACCTCAGACATGCTAGGCCTTAGCTTAGGCTCAAGGCATAAGCAATGCATTGCAAGGGTGGCGGCCGTGTAGGCCCCTCTCAAAGGGTACTGCCCTTCGAGTTTCGTGTCCATCATGCGAAACACCTTCCTCTTGTCCCCTAGATATGGCTGGGCCCACTCCACGAGGTCCTGCTCCACCCCAACCTTCGTTTTGTCTACCGTGCTACGCCCTGACAACAGCTCAAGCAAAACCACTCCGAAGCTGTACACATCGCTCTTTGCGCTCAACCTACCTATTGATTAGTAAAACAATAACAATAGATCCAGTAAAATCCCAAAAAAGGGTCTGAGAAGGGTGTGTATGCAGACCTTACCCCTAGCTCCTTAGAAGTAGAGAAGGATGACATTAATAATGAGAAAGAAAACGGGAAAAAATTACCCGTTGCTACATACTCCGGAGCGGCATATCCATGCGTACCCACTACTCGAGTAGACACATGAGTGCGATCGCCGGTAGGACCCGCCTTTGCTAAACCAAAATCAGACAACTTTGCATTGAATTCCTGCATTTCAAGGAATGAAGGAGCCAACATTCATATTACAACAACAACCTAGTACGGTCCCACAGCTAGCTAGGCTCTGAGAAAATTAGGTGTACGTAGACCTTACCCCTACCTATAAAGATCGGGAAGGGATATTAAATTTCAACAAATAACTTAGGAGCTCAACTTTTGAAACCTTACCACATCTAAAAGTATATTTGAAGCTTTAAAATCGCGATATATGACTTGCTCTTTAGCGTCATGTAGGAAAGCGAGGCCTCGGGCAGCACCAGTTGCAACTTTGATTCTTGTAGCCCAATCCAATGGTTGTGATCCCCCTATAAACCATTGAAAAATGAGCCAACACAAAAAAAAAAATCAAGAGAGTTGAAAGAATGTTTATGTATAAAATGTTAACAGCATGAATAACACACTTCTAAACAGATGGTTCTCCAAGCTGCCTTTGGGCAAGAACTCGTACACCAAAAGTCGGTTGTCGCCTTCGTAGCAGTAACCAATAAGTTTAACTAGGTTTGGATGATGAAGTTGCCCAAGATAATTTACTTCAGTCTGCAATGCACTTGCTTGTAAGGTCAAAAATGGAAGAGAGAAAAAAAGAGGGAAAAAAAATTGTCAACTCACTCACTCACTCATACCAGCCACTCCTTGTGACCTTGAAAGCCTTCGGGCTTCAACCTCTTGACAGCAACGACCATCCCAAATCCGGGCTTCGCTGCAGTAAGGGTATTTTCGTCTATCCATCCCTTGAATACGTACCCGAAACCTCCCTCCCCGAGAAGACTGTCGGGTCTGAAGTTCCTCGTTGCATTCTTCAGTTCATTGAACTGGAAAGGTTTGACATTGGGTGAGAACAATATCTCGTTTTCGGAGTGTGGGGTCAGTGTGGTTCTCCCATTTGATGGAATACTTATGGAGGAAGGAAGAGATGAGGAGTTTCTTGTTTTCTTAGATGCTTCGGAAGCTAGAAACAGAAAAGAAAAAACAGAACTAATATCAATGGCATACCAAAGCATCAATATTTGTTATATAGAAGACATATTATTACCCACACATCAATGCCCAAAGGGAATGTTTGGTACAAAACACTTTGATCAACACTATGCTGGTTTTCAACGTTTCGACCCAAAATAACACTTTGATCAAGGGGAGTTGCTTAACTTTAAATAGCACAAAAATTATGTGAATTTGGAATTGATAGTGCAAAAAATGAATTGGAATTGGAATAATTCAATTCTACGGAATTGAATCCCATGGAATTTCAATTCCAATTCAATTCCAATTCCAATTCCGTATATCAAACTGACCCTGAATGAAAAATTGAGAGAGACAGAGAGAGAGAGATACCAGAAGGGGTTTGAGAGCGGAAAGTGGCATCAACTTTGGCAGAAGTGGGAACACAGCAATTACCCATCAAGAGAATTACTAATACTAATGAATTAATGATAATAATATTAATAATAATAATAATATTAATAATAGTAATGATAAAAATAGCACAACAGCCCAGAAAAGAATCCTTCTGCAAAACAGAGGAAAGAGAATGAATTTAGAGCAGAAATGGGGAGGAAAGAGAGCCGAGAAAGATACATCGAAAAAAGAAAGAAAACAATTTTTTTTAAAATAAAGAGGAAAAAAAAAGAAAGAAAAGAAAAGAAAGAAAACACGTTTGCTTGCTTGCTTGCTTGAGCTGGTCAATGCTTTCACGGTTACGACTTTTACTGATTGCGTCGTCTTTTTCTTTCGTGAAGGGGCCCCCCTTGGAAATGACTGACAAACCGGTGCCTTTGTATTGAGTGTGAGGGAAGAGTTATCATTATTTATCAAAGTGTTCTTCCTTCACCCACCCCCTATTTTGGATGAAAAATGTTAGGGGTTGTACCCCATTTGTCCCCCACCCCCTCCATTACCACATAAATAGGTAAAAATTTTAAAAAAAGTTAAATAAATAAAAAGTAGATAAAAATAAATGGTGGAGAAGGGGGTTGGGGACAAATGGGGTACACCTTTGGTGTACCCCTAGCATGGCTCATTTTGGATTCATTTTTTTATAGCCCCTTTGGATTTTGGTGACCAAAATAAGACACATGGTATGAATCTTCATATCTTTCCCAATCTAATCTTTTTTTAATATGTTTGGTGATATTTACTAAAAGATTTTGATTTTGATATTTCCAAATACCAAAAACCCTGAAAATAAAGGTTTTGATATTTTTTGAATATGAAGGCCGGACCCATTGAGATCAAGCCTTTTGATTGAAGGCGCAAGCAACATGATTACAAACTAGAGTGGCTATAACTAACATACAGACAATAAGGTGGCTACAACAAATCGTAATCGTACTGACAAGCGTATCATGGTGTCCAATCGTGGACCCGCTGATTAGACAAGGCATACAGACTCCCATGTCGTAGTGGGCCCATAGAGCTTAGCTAGCGGCAGAAGCCGAGTGCGCATGCTCAGTTGTTGGAGACAAGTCGTGGAGGGTTTGATCGGGTCTGTTCTGGGTCCGAGTGGATGTATCCGAGCTGAGCAGAGATACACATCTGAGTACGGTTATGACCTTGAGGCCTTGGTTTCCTTTCAAGTCTTCCTTAGCCGAGCGGGGTCCCTTCACCGAGTGCGTTCGGATCATTCGATTAGATGGGCCTTGTTGGGACGCTTATTCTATTGGGTTGGATACCCCTAGTCTAAGGTATACATCAATGTCAATACGAGAGTTTTTTTTATATTTTTGTCAATCATCGACCATCTACGTTACCACTGCCACCGTCAACCACTCTCGTTGTTGGCTACCCTCGTCTATCACTAATTAAATCATCATTTCAAATATTTCCAAACAACTTCATTTCATATTTCAAATTATGTCGTGTCATTCCTCCTAAATTTTAGAACTTAAATTATATCATACCTCCAAAACTTACTAAACAAACCCTAAAAAATAAATCTACCTAGTTAAGAGTAAAATATAAAATTTAAATCAAAATAAGATTCTTTTATTTTATTCTCTATAATGCTTGAAGTTTGTCGTTGTGTATTGACATTTCACAATATATTTTAACATTACATTTTAGCATTATAAATCTTAGAGTAAATTCCTAAAATAGTTCTCTGTAATAAGGAGTTTTCCCAAATTAGTCCTCAATAAGTTTTAATTACCTACGTGGTCCTCTATAATTGAGATTTATTCCCGAAATAGTCCTTTGTAATAAGAAATTTTCCCAAATCAGTCATCAATAAGTTTTAATTATTTACGTGGTCCTTTGTAATTGAGATTTATTCCCAAAATGGTCCTTTGTAAATAATATTACTCAAATGAGGATTAATTGAGGGTATTTTTTATCCGCTAAATTTAGAATTAATTCTTAAAATAATTATTTATAATGAAGTGCTTTCCCAAAATGGTTTTTCTAATTAAAGATGTGTATTTGATTTGAAATTTAAAAGATTTTTTTAAGTTTTAAATAATTCATAAATTATTTATAGTCAATGTATTTTTTAAATTTTATGTTTAATTGTACAAAAATGATTGTTTCGAGAATATACTTTAAATTTGGATTATCAAAATACCAAAATATCTCCTAATTAATCCTCATTTGAGGACTGATTTGGGATAACACCTTATTACATAGAGATAAACCAAATACATTTATAAAACTTAAAAAAAATCTTTTAAATTTCAAATCAAATACACATCTTTAATTAGAAAAACCATTTTGGGAAAGCACTTCATTATAAATGATTATTTTAAGAATTGATTCTAAATTAAGCAAAGAAAAAATACCCTCAATTAATCCTCATTTGAGTAACATTATTTACGAAGGACCATCTTGGGAATAAATCTCAATTATAGAGGACCACATAGGTAACTAAAACTTATTGAGGACTGATTTGGGAAAACACTTTATTACAAAGGACTATTTTGGGAATAAATCTCAATTATAGAGGACCACGTAGGTAATTAAAACTTATTGAGGGCTAATTTGGGAAAATACCTTATTACAGAGGACTATTTTGGGAATTTACTCTAAATCTTATTCATCTTATTTCACTACAAGAAAAAGAATTTTTAGTTACGGATCAATTATGACGAATTGATAATACTCTCATTAAATGTATTATTTGTACATTTTTAATGAGGGAAAAACCCCTAGTTAAAAGGTGTTACTTTTAGTGACCAATTTTTTTCATTTTTCTTATTTTAAAGTTAATATTCTCATTATATACTCCCTCCGTCCCAAGTTATTTGTCACATTTCTATTACCGAGGCAAAATATCAAATTTTTTCAATGATTTTATTTACATATCGGTAAATAAATAAAAAATAAAAATTACATATCAAAAAACTACATGAAAAGTTCTTCGAAATAAGAGGTGTCAAGAATATTTTATTTTATCAAATAACCAATGAAAACATAGAAATAAACAAAAGTTCCCGCGACTGTTGAAAAAGCAAATGTGACAAATAATTTAGGACGGAGGGAGTATTTATATATTTCTAAATTGGCCAAACTAAACTAAAACATACGGAGTATTAAAAAATGAAATTGTTTTTTAGGGAGAAAGAGTTATTCCTTAAAAAAAGAGTTATTCCTCAAAGTATTTTGGTGAAAATTTCTCTTCTCAGATTCACAATCTCGTGCAAAGTCCTGCCGCTGCCGCCTGCGTACAATCTCTCCCTCAGCCACTCCTTCCGACGACCAACAGTATTCGACCAGAGACTTTGTTGGTTTTTCCCTGGTGTTTCTAGGGATTCGACGAGAGGAACAAGAGCTCCGGCCGCCACTCGTTTCCCTGTCTTTCGCTTACTCAATTCCAGGTAATTTTCTTTCCCAAATTAGGTTATAATGTTTAATTTTTTCCATAGTATGATGATTTTGGTTAATTTCTTCATGAGGGTTTGAGCATCTAATCGCCTTTATGATTCAATGATCCATAATATTTGACTTTTCTTTTGTTTGAATCCATTCTGTTTATAAAGTTTGCTGCAATTTGTTCATCAATTGGGTTTGAAGTTTGAGCAACCTAAATACTTCGTATTTATGAAATTACTAGCTTCCGTACTGGCTTAATTTTGGATGTTCATTAAATATGATTTATGATATGTGAAGATATAATTTGTGGATTCTTTAACTATGAATTCGCGATTAGGTTCATTTTTACCAGTAAAGATCTTAAATAGCTTTCAAAATTTTAAGCAACACAAGATTTCATTAATGAGGATAGGTGTAGACATGGAGAAGAGAATGACTGGAATTAAACCAATCATATACGGAGTATTTAGAAAAATTTCATTGTGTTCGTAGGTGTCAGTGAGTTGCTCATTCCATCTATTTGCTCATAGGGGTTAGAATTCTATTTTTTCCCCAAATTTTCTAATAAAGGTCAAAATAGTCCACTCAATTAATTAAATTTAAATTTTTTCAAAAAAAATAATAATTAAATTTTAAGTATATTACCTGATAACCCTAGACCTTTATTCCTTCTCACCATCTTCATTGAGCTGGAGGCCCAAGCTATTCCGAATTTCCTCCCTGGTGTGCGACTCTGTGTGTGTTTTCTCTCTAGCTTTCTTTTTTGCTTATTATCTCAGCCTTTTTTGTTTTCCGTTTGGTATTATGTGTGCATGGATTTCCTGGATCTGCTTTTGATTTTATAGATTGCTTCTTGTTTTTTTAAATAATTAATCTACTATTTTTTTGACCCAAAAATAAATAATAATCTGCTGTTTTTTCCTTCACTCTTAGGTTCATGGACTTTTCTTTGGCTATGGTTTTGATTTTACTCATTGCTTCTTTTCTTTGCGTGAGCTCTATGCTTTCTGTGTTGCTTGATATCGGAGTCTCTTGGAAACAGCTTCTCTACTTTCGAGTAGGGGTAAGGTCTATACGCACACCCTCCTGAGACCTTACTTTCGCAAGATTATACTGGGTTGTTGTTGTCTTCGTTGCTTTTGAGTGTTTGAACATTGGACTATGTTTGCTAGTCTGGCCATTAGTTAGGGTAGTATATTGATTTCAGTTTTACTCAGGTTGAATCTTTTAATGCTAATTGTTGGAAGATAGTTTAAGGTGATAGAATGAAGAAGGAACCAGAAATAAAGATTGCAAAGTCAAGCAAACTTAAATTAGACAACGGAGACAGTGATGATCAAGATCAAGAATTGTCCTCAGAATATGTAAGAATGTGGTCTCTGTTTACAAAGTTCTCCTGTTTATGCATATGTAAGTTGTAATGTTGATTCAATACTCACGAGACTTTGAATTAATGAGCAGGAAGAACTAGAAAAAGAGATTGAGAGAGAGCTTGCAGAAGTTACATTTGAGGAACTACAGAAGGCCCGCTCAGATGGATCGGAGGTCCTGTATATGAGACCCCCAGCGGAGGAAAAGAGTGGCCGGCGTAACAAAAACAGGTTGCCTAAACACACATGCAAAGTTCTTTTTGTTGGTTTTGGCATATTACGTTGTCTCATTGATTTGTTAGTTTTAAAATTTGTCAAGGCCAATGGAGATGAGTAGCAAGACGCCGGTTGGCCGGTTTAGAGAAGTTGTTCAAGTGTCTAAAAAGGTTGGGCTTTTTTGTGTCCATTTTATGTGGGTATTAATTGGATGTCACTTATGATCCTTATGGCTGGTTGGTGAACATGTTCAGATTGCAAGAATTATTTACCAATATCATATTGGCACAACATATACCTTTTTCACATTTTTTAAATATGAGTTCTGTTGGGGTATTGCTGAGTCAGACAATTTGAGATGGGGTGCTCCAGCAAATATGATGAACATTGTTGGGCCCTAGGTTGAAGCCTGGAACCCCGGCTTAGTCATAAATCATTCGTGTCCTTTTTAAATTGGTATATTTGGACATTGATGATTAACATTAACAAGTTTTCTAAAAAGGATGTGATTTGCTTGGTTTTCTGTTGAAGGGAATATTATTTTTCAATTGAACACACCAATGGTTAATGGTTTTCAGCATGCCTGAGCCTTTTAAATGTGTGTATAGCTGTATACATTTAAAATAGTCTCACATAGAGAAAACTTTTATGTTCAGGTTGTTCGTGACCCTCGCTTTGAAACATTGTGTGGAAATCTTGATGAGGAAGGGTAGGCTTTGAAATACTCAGTTTTTCATTCTTTTAGTTTACTTGTCCTTAATTCCCCAAAGTTATGATATTAGATTTCTCTTACACTATGTTTGGTTCAAGGAATTTGGAAGGCAATGAAAAGAAAATGATTTTCTCTAATTTTCTCATTAAAATGGGAGGAATTTGGTTTTCCCTCCACTTAGTACATTTTACCTTCTCATTTTGTTTTCCTTCCACTTTTCCTTTCATTTCCTTTCTAACCAAACAAGAAAAAGTACTTTCCACTTCATTTTCTTTTCTTTTCCCTTTCAAATTCCTTGAACCAAACATAGTGTTAAAGGTATTTTCGCAATGGGTTGCTCCTTTGAACATGCTAGTTGTTGTGTATATGAAACGGTTGTTTTGTTAGGATCACAAAACACTTCCATTTTATGTGACTCTTGTTTTACACTTTGCAGATTTAAGAAGAGATACAAGTTTCTTTATGAAAATGATCTTCCAGCTGAAAGAGAGGCGTGTTCTTGTGTTACTCGTGTTATTTGAACTCTTTCTTGACTTCCTTGCAATTTTGTGTAATATTTTCTTCCATTTAATTGCTCGTTTTCTTATAGGATCTAAAGAAACAGATGACGGAAACCAAGGACCCAAAGGTCATTGATGAAATAAGTAGTCGTATAGCTTGGATTGTAAGTGCTAATTCTGATGCATTTTAGTTTTGTGACTTTTATCTGCTAAGAAAGTTTCTTGAATCTACATACGGAGTAACATATATGTTATAATATACTTAATCATTTTGACTTCTTGCACGCCAGAATAAGCAATTGAAATCTTCTTCAACAAGGAATACAGAAAAAGAGATTCTGTCTGAACACAAGAAAAAACAGAGAGAGGCAGCAAAACAAGGGAAGCAACCATTTTATCTTAAAAAATGTATGTGCTCTGAAACACTGTTTTTTCATTCATTACTGGCTCTAAAGCAACCATAAAAATCTATATCTGGAGAGGAATAAATGAAAATATATGTGAACGTGATGGGAAAATCAAGCTTGACTCTTATATTGTGATCTTGACAAATTCCCAAGCTGATTGGCTATTTTGCTTGCAGCGGAAATACGAAAGCTCAAAGTTAAAGAGAAATACAAGGAACTCAAGGTACCTACTCATTTTATGAATTGCTATGCTAGAGTGACGTCACTTCTTGTTTTGTAGAACTTTTGCTAGTAGTTCTTAAATGTATACATTTGTTTTAAAACTTCGCATCAATATTTAAATAAATTGAATTGAAAATAACTTCACTCCAACACCACAACCCAAAAGATTGAGTAGGGACAGAGGGAGTAAAAGTTAAAAATATCCGAGTCTTAATCCCAAATGAAAGCAATCTTCCTTTGATTTACCAGGAATCCGGGAAGCTTGAGTCTTTTATCGAGAAGAAGAGACGAAAAAATTCTGCAAAGGACCACAGGTACATGCCATACCGGCGTTCTGAAGAATAAGGGTAACAGTGAAATGGTGAGTCTGTTTAGCCATTTTCGGAGGGTTGATTTGAGTCGAAATGTCGAATTCTTACCTTGGATCCTTGGTTGCTACTACCTTTTGTTGAGGGCTATTTATGATCTTAGAAAATCTTTGACAATTTGTAGTGACTTGTGTACCTTTTCAAGTGTTTGTTTTTTTTGACTAAATGGTACTCCTTCCATCCCACCTCCAATGAGACTTGCAAAGTTAAAGGGTCTTGAACTTCTTTTATTATGGGAACTTTTCTTTTATAGCGCGTCTAGATTTAATTGTTCAGTTGCCGTTTTTAGGAAATGTATTAATGAAATTATCACACCGCGGTTCTTTTGACGTTGGGTATCGATGTCACATTATGACACTGGATCCATTTGAGCTCTTATAGTGCTCCGCTCGATTTAGAAATGGTTTCTAGATCACGCACCCCTAGCCTTGCTCCCTGCACCCCATCTCTCATACACCATTTTCAAGTTAAACGGAGCATCGTAGAGATCTCAAATGGATTAATGTCATATTATGACATTGACCACTAGCGTCAAAAGAATCTAGCCGAAGTTATAAAAATCACGCTGAAGAACATATAAATTTTATTGTTAAAGATGAAGAATGAACTAAGTTTAGGGAATCATCTTTCGTTCCTTTTTTTTATATTATAAAAGTCATTTATATTATAAAAGTCAAATATGGCCTAATAAAGGTTATGGAGGATCTTTTAGCTCCATAATGGCGTCATTACATGCGACCCAAAGTTTACGGTATATTATAAACCAAAATAGGAAAAATATAAAGTACTAAAATAATAATTTTGTATTTTTATTCTCTAAATAAAAATTTACATTGTAGTAATGTGGCACTGTAGATGTGCATATACTATACTTTTTGGCAATGTACATAGTCATGATTGATAATGTAAATACATTTTAACTCTTATTTTGAAAAATAAAAATATAGAATTTTTATTTTGAAATATTTTTAATGTTTTGCTCCTACTTTAATTTTTTCCCTTTATTATAACGTTTTTTAAGTCTTATTCTTCTAAGTTAGAATTTAGAGTTGGATATTGGATGAAACTAAAAGAAGTTCAAAGAAATTGGAAAGAATGGAAAAAATTAGAAGGATTTAAAAGAAACTAAAAGGAGTTGGAAAAACGGGAAAGAGTTTGAAAATATTGGAAAAATTTCAATTTTAAAAAAACTTAATTAAATGATTTGCCAAATAAATATGTAATGAACTTCTAATTTTGGATATAAAAAAATTTGTCATTATCGGTGTTTGAGGTGGTATTTCATAAATTTGGATATACAATATCATTTTTATATATACTTTTTTTAAGTGGTTAAAAGAAACTAGAAGTTGGAAAAAGTAGAAAATTATTTTTTTCAATCCAAAAGAACAGGGAGTTGGTGTATAAAACATTTTTAATTTGGCAACTAAATGCCTTTTTAAGTTTTTATATGTCTATTTATGAAATCTGTACCCATTGCATAATTTATTTATAAATTTACAACATTAATAGAGCATGGAGGGCGACTTTTAATGAGAGTATTTTAAAATGACAAATGCTAGGTTCCCATCACAACCTTTACAAATTTAACATTTGTGATTTAAACTCTTTTTTGAAAATTATTTAAGACTTTTTTATTGCTTTATCAAATTTCACAAATGAGAAAATTTGTGACCATTTTGTTTGTGAACCTAACATTTCTCTTTTAAAATATCCCCTAACTCACTGTAAACCCCTCCACCCGGTCTGACCCGAGCCCATCCCCTGCCCCGTCAATTGCACCCACAAGATGTAGTTGACTTTGGAGTTAAATTTTGACTCCAAAGTCAAACAACATCTTATGGGTGCAATTGACGAGAAAGAGAAGTAGATTTGGGTCAAAACGGGGTGGGAAAGTGGTTAGAGTTTTGAACGGAGTAATGTAGGGACCTTGGATCATCCCATTACATTCATTTCCAATATCATGAAAACCGTAGTGTAAAATAAATGGGTTCAACTTCTTTGGCTTCTCCACATAAACGTCAAGTTATGAAATTGTTTTAAAAATAGAAAAAATTACAAAAAGATATCAAAACATATTTTGAAATATCTAACATCTAATTATTTTTTCAAAAGATTTAAAAAAATTAATATTATTTTAAAAAACCAATCTCAAAATATCAACCGATTTCTCTATAAATTTAGAGTGGCAATATTCACATCATTAACGAAATATGAAATCAGGCTTTCCACTTATTATTTCGATGGGGTTCCCATGACATTGGAACCCCATGTAATGGGATGACCAAGTCAATGTCATGGGAACCGTTCCCCTTATTATTTTTAACTGACCGATTCTTTTGATATCATAATACGACATTTGCTCATTTGAAAGTCATATGAGACTCCATTTGATTCTGAAGTGATTTTTACCCCCCCTCCCCCCAACTCTTCTTGTAAACCCCTAGCTCATCCCATGCACCCCATCCCCCAGGCCCATTTGGATGCGAAAATGCTAGGGGGGCCAAGCATTTAACATCAAATGCACATCAAGGCTAATACAGACATACAACTATTTAATATATGGGAGCGCACAGACATTAAAAATCTGGAAGTGTTTGTATTGGCCTTGGTGTGTATTTGGTGTCAAAATGTTGGGGTCCCCTTGGCACTCCTCAATTGGATGCCAATTGAGAGTGAATTGTCGTCAAAGAAAGCAAATTAGGATGCAGGAGGCGAGTTAGGACTTAGGAGTGGAGATTTATCGACAGTTAAGAGGGGTAAAAATCAATTGGAGATCGAACAAAGTACCGTTCGATTTGAGGGGTACAACCCCTCAAATAGACCCAATGTCATTATAACATCGACAACCAATGTCAAAAAAAACTAAAGTGTGTTTTAGAACACTCGTTCCAATGGCCACTTCTCCTCCAAAACCCGTTACAATTTGTCAAGACAACATGGGACGGACAGCTTCTTCTAACAATAGACAAATCAACATAAAATGGAGTGCTCAAATTTCACAGGCTGAATCCAAACACTACAAATCAAATCTAAAAATCAAGCAGCAAGTCACAAAATGCGCAAAAAAAAAAAAAAACTGCAAGAGAGTACAATACCTTTTTCTTTTGTCAATCCTCTTCAAGATTGATGGAGTCTTTGAACTTGGCATACAAAATCTTTTTCAGCTCGGTCATCTTAGCAGCCACAGCCGCTTTCTCTTTCAGTAGTTTCTCCAGTTTCTTGCCAGTTTCCTCTTTCATGTCCTCTATCTTGCTCTCTACGTCTTCCCTTGGCACGTGTGCAAAAACCTCTCCTATCAAGAAGCGCACTACCTCCTCATCAGAGAGAATTAACTCGTTGCCCGCATCTTCAAGATTCTCAGTTGTTTCCTGCCATTGATTGTGACCATAGAGTCAGACCACCCTAAACACACCACCACCACCACCACCAACAAACCCAATAAAATCCCACAAAAAGTAGGTCTCAGGATGGTGACCATAACCAAGTAGAGAGAAACATTATTGACATGATAAAAAACGCAGTGTATATTTCTTGAGAAATTAATTGAAGATCATTGATATCTCTAGGTATGGGTGAAAGAATCAGAGTTAAGGGTAGACCAACGTTGTGAAAGGCAAAAGGCAGATTAAGGTTCTCTTTTAAAAGCACGAGTCTTGAATTTAGGGCAGAGAAGGGGTCTCAATGCTTTTTTCCCATGCTAAAAATCCAATTCAAGTCATACCAAAGCTAAGAGGACAGAATATAGTACCTTGTCGGACTGTGCCGAAGGTTCTTTAGTAGTGATTACAAAACACAAACTGAGGGTGAACAATATTGTTGTGTACGTGTACTCTCACAAGCGATCCCAAAGAGCCTGGTATTATAAATCTTGTGTGTTCTCGGGTACCCAAAAATTAGAAAATTGAACATAGCTTAATACAACAACAATAACCCAGTTGAATAGGGTCTCGGGAGGTGTGTGTATGCAGACCTTACTCCTACTGGAAAGTACAGAGGCTGTTTCCAAAGAGACCCCCGTGTCAGCGTCGAAAGTTGCATTGATTAACTAACTGCTATTTCATTAAATAGAAGAAGCGCGGACAGTTTAGATATCCATTTTGTTTTACTCCATCACACCCTAAAGCCAAAAAATTGTGGATTTTTGGCTCTACCGGAGATGATGGAAAACTATAATCAAAACATAGCTTAATGAAAACTATAAATAATATATATTACGATGAAAACAGGCTGTGAAGAGCACATCAACAACCCCCACCAAGCTTTAATCCAAAAATTCACAGTATGGTTAATTATAAGCCATGGAATTGATAGTTTGAAGTCTTGAAGAATCATTTAGACAGTTCGAGGTTAGCACTATATGGGTTATTAATTAAGAAAAACAATACTCCCACCGTTTGGATTTAGTTGTCCACTTTCAATAATAAAAAAATTAAATGGGTTTAAAATGTCAGATAAGTTTGTTAATCATTCATGTCAATAATACTCATACTCTGTTTCTAGGATATTTTAGACAAATCACCATAATTTCTTTATTGAATTCCGAAAGTAGACAACTAATTCCGGACAAACAAAAACAAGAAAGTGGACAACTAAATCTCGACTGAGGGGTAATACGTTTTTTAGTACAGAAGAGAACTATTTTTAGACATTGTTTTCTTCATGTTCAATCCATTAATGCTACATAGATGCCTAACCATTTACATTTCCTAGTGCTATATGTTATTCCCCCTTGTTTATTATAAGTAAATTGTCATTAGTAGCAATTAGGACACACATGAAAGGAATGTTGTGCATTTACAGTGCAAGAGTTAGATAGCACATAGCTCTAATGAGAATTCAGGAGCTGATAGAGAACACTGCCTGTGCCAACAATTGGAATTGCTTGATTAGGGCTTTCAAGACAAGTCGGGAATGCATTAGAAAAAGTAATTAGGGCTTTGACCGGAAACTTGAATTCTAGCAAAAGATGCACTTTGCATCAAGATTTTGACACTTCAGTTGATACGTGATAGATATAAGATTTGTCTTTACTTTTTTCATTAATTGATATGGAGTATTAAAATTCCTATCGATCAATCGATAACCCCTACTGAGAATAAAAGGAGTGACTTGTAAAATAAATCACAGAAAACAGAAAATCATTACCTTAGCAACCTTGATTTCATCTTCTAGCTCATGGAAACGATTGTTCAGTCTGCTGAATTCGTTGATATTCTGTTGGTCTTTCCAGTTCACTTCTACTTCCGAACTTGAAGCTCCAGCCTTTGTATCCATTTATTTCTTCCCCTCAAAGCAAGGACACGCCAAATCTGGGAAGAAATAAAGACTCAAGACGCAGAAACACTCCACACGCATAGGCTTATCCGAATCGGCTGTCAAACTAGGGGCTTTGAAGGTCCGTTACTCCGTTCGGAAACCAGGAAAGTAGCTTCTGGAAAATGACTTCTGGAAAAAATGGATTATTTTCCAGAAATCATTTTCCTTTTCTTGTGTTTGGCTGAAAGTCTGAAAATAGGCTATTTATGTTTGCTTCATTTTCAGGAAAATAAGTATCTGGAGCAAAGAATTAGAAAATGAAAGTGCCTAACCTAAGAGGACCATATCAAAATATGCAGGCGCAGAAAAGAACTCAGAGAACAACCACATGCCCACACCTCATTCAAAGTAAAATATTCAATTCCAAGATCAATAGAAGAGAAACAAAAGAAATCCCTAAAGATTGTAAAGAATTCAGAATTTATTTTTTTAAAAAACCTTATATTCTACAATTCGTGATTATGCAATGGAAAACAAGTACAAATTATAAGATTATTAAAATAAAATTCTTAATTTCTGAAATAAAATCAACAAAAACAAATCCGTAATAGAAAGTTTAGGTTAAAAATCAAGAATACGAAAGAGAAAAGAGAGAAGAAGCCAAATGAGAAGAGAGAATAGAGGAGCCGAGAGACAAGAGAGGAGCCGTATATACCTGGGGAGAAGAGGTGAGAGTTCGAACGAAGAAGAAGGAGGCGGATGGAAGAGATCTGCGTTGAAGTTGGAGCGAAGGCCAATAAATTAAAAGTTAAATTTCAATTTCTTCCCAACTTAAAAAAAAAAAAGTACCGAGTATTTATACGCATTATATAATTAAATAATTAATATATTATATATCCAAAAATCAAGAATACGAAATATATTTACAATATTTTTAAATTCTGGAGGTACCATCAACTTTCTGATAAAAATTCTAAAATCTTAAGCTATTTGAGATGTACTTGGGGAGTGTTTAAAATTCATGATAATTTACTTCTAGCTTGTAGATATTTTGATAAAGTTTTCTGATGTTAAATTTTCTTTTTAATTTTATAAATAAATTGAATTGAAAAATAAAGTTGGTCAATCATCATAAATTTCTATATATTTTTAATGTTTTATTTCTACTTTAGTATTTTGTGTTTCTCCCAATAGCACCATGACATGTAGAGAAAGGTACACACTATAGAGATTAAAGGTAATTTGACCATAATAAAAAAAAAACTAACAATCACATGTACATTTAAGGCTAAAAACTTTTTCCATTATATTGTGCTTCCAGGTAATGTTTCTTAAACTCATTACACACACCAATGATTTGTCCTATAAAACTGCTTGATATAGATTTCATTTTAAAAGAAGCACAAAACTGATTTGGGTGACGGTTTTTTCATGTATAAATATGGCAACATTCCAAATTTGTTATTAATCTCTGCTTTCAAAAAATCTAATAAAAATTCTTTCGTGGCAACATGACTAAAATATACTCCCTCCGTTCATTTTTAATGTTCGTACTTTCATTTTTCGTCCGTCCACAAATAAAGTTTATGTTTCTAAATTAGGCAAAGAATTATAAGTGAAACGCCTTTAATACCCCTCACCCACCGCCCACTTTAATTTACTCCAACCACCCCACTTTTGTACTTGTACTTGTACTTTAACAATATTTTAATCATTTTCATTACTTTATCTATCCAATCACTACTATTTAACTTTATTCACCTTTACATTTAATTTATTTATTTTTATTAACCAAAGGGCAAAGTTGGAAAGTCAATGCTTTTTTAACATTTTCTTAAACTCCGTGCCAAGTCAAACTCCGAACATTATTTATGGACGGAGGGAGTAATGGTTACACACATATATAAAGAGTAAAACGCACGACATTTTAATATATTACTCTAACATATGGGTGGGAAAAAAATCCTCTCTTTAAATATAGTATAGATTATATTTTTCACATCACAAAATATTTGTCCAATTTAATTTTTTTGTAAGTTTTTCTTTGTGTTAGTGTTTATTAGTTTACTCCTGATAAATAATTTTTAACTTATAAGTTGCTTATAAGTTAAATATTCTTTTGTGAAAGTAAAATAATTTAAATGATAGATATAAATAATTTATTTTCACAAATGACCCAAAACAATTTTGTAAAAAATCTAACAAAATAAAGTTTCAAAAAATGGCTTAAAATAAGAAATAAGACCTATTTATATTTTCTAATTTATAAATTATTTATAAACCAATTTATAAATACAGAAAAACATGTTATCAACTGACTTATAAATTAAAAATAACTTGACAATTTTGACAACTTATAACCACAGAGAGATACATCCACTTTGTAACCAAATTGAACAAATTTTGACTATCAATCATTTAAAATTTACAACGTATCCTGAATATGCTCTGAAATTTACTTGTTTATGACTAAAGATATAAAAGGTCAATGATTTTATCCAAAAAATTTATGAAATTCTAACAAAACTTTACTAGAAAGATATGTACGTTAATAACTTTCAATACCACGGTAGATTATGTAAGAAATAACAATGATCAACAAAACATGGATGCAAGATTAGTCTCACACATACACATAGTTTCATGCACAAAATTAGTTAAATGTAAGATTGGCATTCTAAAATTTGATGATAGCTAATAGCTGCAATCTAGTCTGCTTGCATACATTACAGGGGAAACAAAAACGAAACAAAAGCAGACGGACGAAAGCCGGTTAAAGCTATATAAACCTACCATAAACAAAACGACTAGTGATAATAGCATTGAACGCGCAATCTGTTCTACGAGTCAATTACACACTTGGGATGGTAACAAAAATTAATCCCATGCTTTTGCAACATCACCTTTTCCACTCTGCTCGAATCGCCTTATCTGAGGTTAAAAGATAGGAAACCAATAACATACATAACCTTGTAGCGTTATATGACGAAATGCATGCCATTGCGTGGAAGAACAGTCGGTATTAAACTAAACCATATGTTTTGTTTGGTTTGAGTTGAAGTTTTGAAGATGATGATGATGATGATGGCAATGACGACTATTTGCAAGAATAACGTGCCTAGAAGGGCATTACGTGTAAATCTTTGCCAATGCGGCAATACTATTTGCATAAAGTTGAGTAATACAAGGTAGTAACTAATCTAAGCTCTAAAATTTACTCTGTTTTTAGCACTATGAATTTCATGTTACTGACTCCAACTAGTTGGGATTACTTAAGGTGCTAATGATGATAAAAAAATGATGATTTAATGAACCAACTTTACTATTACAAACCGTAGCTAACTGAGGTAGAGGCATGCAAATTTTAACAAAAAAAAAAAAAGTGGAATTGTGTGGTTGATAATGATGTTGAAAAGTAACAAAATGGATGAATGAATGTGAGACATAAAAATTACCAAAGTTTTGTATGAAAAAAAAAGAGCGGTTAAAAAAGGTTTAAAAAAAGGGTCATAGAGAATAAAAAACATGCACCGGCTTCCTGCAAATAGGGTATCTAGATGCATTTACGCACGAAGTAGAAATATCCATATTCATATAGGAGTTATATAAAACTCACCAGAACCATCCCTAGATGTTGACAAAGATCTATCAATTTTAATTCCTTCTTTGCCACTTGCTTGGGCCACCAGTTTCTGCACTCGTGGAGATGAACTCATCTTTCCAGTAGTTAGAGATGGCATAGAATAACGCCTAGTCACGGCAATGCTCTCCAATGCTTCTTGCCCATACCTGGGAGATGCCTGCTCCCTCACCTTAGCCCTAGCAGACTGGGTAGGAGCCATGTAGCTGGGTAACTTTCTTTGGGTGGGTGGAGTACCTCCATGCCCTCCATCCATATCATACTTTAACGGCAACGAAGCTCTTCTCTTCTGCTTATTCTTGCTGCTCCCATTTTCGTTCTTCTTGCCATTGCAATTTAGTACTTCATCTGGTGTTGTTGAAATATCCTCGTGACTTGTTTGAGCAATTGGGTTGGGTGATATTTTTGAAACAGGAGTGTCATTCAACTCTGTAACCAATGCTAGATTTGATAGCTTTTCTGGAAGTTTTTCTGCATCATCATGTTTTGCAGGTTCATTCGTTGAACAGTTCGTGCTAGTTTGTGACTGAAGAGAGTTTAAATCAGCAGGAACACTAGGGGCTGTCACTGTTGATACCCCTTCCAGAAAAAGAGTTTCTGCACCAGAAGGTTTCTCCAGTTCATGACATGAATTATTGTCAGTGCTTGACTGCTTTCTCAGATTATTTTCGGTTGATCGGTCAGTGTTTGGCTCCGACCGAGCAGATTTTTCCATTATAGGCTTGGAGATCTTCTTCAGATTAAGTCTAATCTTCTCAATTTCATTTCCTTGGTGCTCAGAAACAGATTTTGCTGAATGATGATGTGGCATTTTCTTTGGGCTGTTCTTATCCTTCCCAGTGTCCAAAATAAGATTATTTGATCCCTTCCTTATCTTGGGTTTTTTATTCGAGCCAGAAGTATCTTTAGGCTGAGATTCTGGAATCCAAATTTTCGCTATTGTCCATCGCATTAACCATTCATGGGAAGAGTTAGGCTCCCCAGGACCATATTGAAGCTGTAGAGGCATCGAACTGGGGGACGAACGAAGTAGCTGAAATGGGAACAAAAACTATCAGCCTCTTCAAATCAAATAAAAGGAAGTACTCGCTATCTGATACTCCCTCGGTCACATAAAAAAGCTCACTTTGACGATTGTACAACTTTGAAATTTAATAAGGTACAACTTCAAAAGCACCTAACATACCGATATTCATAAACACTTTGATATTAAAAGGACTGTTTATGGAACAAAAAAACAAAAATTGGGAAATATGTTCTTCCTACTATCTTTGTCTCATAGTATATTTATCAAATAGCAATGCTTGTGTAGCTCACATCCATTACTATCTATAAAATGAACAACAATCACACAATTCCACTTCTCTTGATTTTCATGCAACTAACCCATGTCCAAAAAGTAGTGGGACAGTGTGATTTACAATATTCAACATCAAGAACATTGAAAATTGTATTTTTAAAGGTCATATATTCACGAACAATTTTTAAACCCGTTGCCCTGCATGTACGCCTAACTTTTACATCGCAAGATTATGCGGTGCATAAAACATAAAAGGTAGAGAGTATGTTTCGCAGAAAAGACAATCAGGTGAAGAAAGCATAAAAAAGGTTAGAAAAATCACATATTGAAAGATTAACAGTAGGGGTAAGGACTGTTGAGTACACTGATATACCTTATTAGTGAAAGCATTTTTCAGTAGCTCCTCAGCTGGAACAGATGCATTAGTTTTGGAATAACCTGGTGTCTTAATCACATCAAAGTGGAAAAAGCACAAACAGAAACACAAATGGTGTCATCCATATTAGAAATCAATACTACATCAGATAGGCTAGGCAAGACAAAAGAGTAAACCATCCAAATTTCTTATATTTTCTCCGTTCTTAAATAAATGAAACAGATGAGGATTTTGTACTTTCCAGTCACTCACATTTGATTTTCTTTTGTTATTTATGCATAAAGAAAAATATAGTCATGTGGGATCTTGTTATATTCTTCTCGGTATAAACTTTCATAGTATCAACTGTTTATAATTTTACCAAAACATAATTGAAAACATTAATAATTTTCTTTATGCATTGGAAAATGTGAAAATCATGATTTTGCATTTATTTGAGAGAACAAGAAGTAATAGAAGAGACAATCTTAAGTAGGGTTTAAAGTTAGAACCATGGGGAAAAGGAAAGTTGAACCC